CATCAGAAGAAAGGGCACTCCATCTAAGATTCTTTGTCCTTCAGTCCCAGATGCTGGCATCATGTAGCTGTTTGGTTCCTCTGGGCCTAGCCATTTCCAACTTCCTGAGTTTTTCTTCTTCATTTTTTTTTAAATGCGATTTTTGAAAAGGAAGCGTCCACTGTAGATAAAGTGTTCCTCATGGAGAGGACCCCAGCAACTCTTCTGAGCAGCCACAGACTTTCTTCCCACCATTGCTGTGAGTCCCCAGGACTGAAACGACATCTCACAAGAGCAATGTGACACAACAACAGAGCCGCACTGGCAGGTCAAAAATCTCAGGAGATGAGCACAGCAGAGTCTTGTTCAAAAGAGAGCTGACTGCAAGTTGAATGTGTGTGACTGACTTCTCAAATTAAGAGGAGCAGCCAGGCACGGTGGCTCATGCCTGTAATCCCAGCACTTTGGGAGGCCAAGGCTGGCGGATCACTTGAGGTCAGGAGTTCAAGACCAGCCTGACCAACATGGTGAAACCCCGTCTCTACTAATAACACAAAAAAATTTAGCTTGGTGTGGTGGCTCACGCCTGTAATCCCAGCACTTTGGGAGGCCACGGCTGGCGGATCGCTTGAGGTCAGGAGTTCAAGACCAGCCTGACCAACATGGTGAAACCCCGTCTCTACTAATAACACAAAAAATTTTAGCTTGGTGTGGTGGCACATGCCTGTAATCCCAGCAACTCAAGAGGCTGAGGCAGGAGAATCGCTTGAACCCAGGAGGTGGAGGTTGCAGTGAGTCGAGATCATGCCATTGCACTCCAGCCTGGCCTGGAGCAAAACTTCACCTGCAAAAACAAAAGAATAGCTACCTGCATGAGATACCTAACTAGACAGTGTTAAGATTAATTTTCATAAGGGTTTTCAGAAAATGCCCCCAAAACATTGTGGTCACCATGACATTTTCTACAAATATTAAGAAACTCAAGACTACTTACAAATGTGTATTATAACTATTTTACATATGTGTATAACTATATTACAACTATTGAGGTTGTCAATGTCTAAAGCCTTATTGATAGAAACAAAACCTCAACATAACCAAGGGATTTCTTATGTTCAGGTTTTTAAAAAGTAACTAAATTTTTACTTGGACAGCTGGGTTTTGTTTTGTGTTTTTGTTTTTGTTTCATTTTCCATTAGGTTAAAATAGAATTTTAAGTGAAAAATGAAATCTAAAGGAAATAAAACCTCCCCATGTGTCAGTAATTGGCCCGTGTGAATGAAAGCACAATTGAGTTTATGAATTCCGTGTCCTGCTCCTTGAATCTCTTCCCTCCCACAAAACAGCAATTCCAGGACTTCCTCTTCAGCCCAAAAGGAGGTACCAGATCTGTGCATGGGGGCGATGTGGAAGAGACCTGCTTATTGCCCCTGGCGTAGGCTCCGGTAAGAAAAGACTTCAAGTACAAGTGCTAGGAAGTCACTTCATGCATCTGTTTATAGGTTTGTAAGTACATGAAGTTATTAAATGAGAGCTTTCTAAATTCAGCCCAAGGGTTCAGTTTCATTTTCTGGTCATTTTTCTTCCTCAGTGCCTCTCTACTTATTTCCGTTGTTGGTTCTTGCATGTTTTCCTCCAGGTTTCCTCTTGGCCTTCTTTATTTTATACATCTCTTTTCCTCTTGCCATTTCACCTTGCATTCACTCCTCTCCCCAGAAAACTGGAACCTGAAGCCCTTTCCAAAGTTTTTTTTTATGGCATTGTTAAGTATTAGAGACTGAGCAAGAACACTTTTTCCCTCCTTTTTATGTAAATACTATGCATAATAAGTTGATACTTATCCTTTAAACTTAACTTTTTTCTTAAAGTAGTTTCAAGTTAGGGAAAATAAGAGTGGCAGCGTTTACCTTAATTGTTCTTACTCCTATTGAGAAGTAGATTCTCAAAGCCTCGAGGAAGCCATTATAGAAATCAGCAAATCACACTGCCACGTGTGCACCTATGCAACTATCTTGCATGTTCTGCACACGTACCCCAAAACCTAAAATGCAATAAAAAAAATAAATCTCAGAATCTATCTTCTGTCGTTGCCATCTACAATGAGGTATATGTGAATGAAGCATATAAATGCCCTAAGAAATCTGGAGAGGGACAGCTTTTTAAAAAAATAAAACCTCTGTTTTGAGAAAAGAAATGACTCATTAGGTTTTAGAGAATTAATTGCAAGCTTGTCAGTAGTATTTGGGGCTTAAGCAGGAAAGACGATCAAATCTTCTCTTCCAGGGGAAAAATCAAAGTTCCCAAGAAGAGGTGTAGTTTTCAAGACTGCAGTACATGTTAGGTTGATGTATTGAATCCCACTAATCATTTGCCTTGTCTCTAATTCTGGAAGACTTTGAAAGAATGATAATCTACCTCCACCCCACCCGGGGCCTGAACACACACACCGAAGTAGAAATCTTTCCATTTTTAATGATCCATTACTTGGACAAGGTACTCATTGAATATGAGGTCTGATTTTACAAAAATTAAACCTACCCATTGGCAATTTACTGATGTTCATGAGAACAATCCAAATGAAGAATACTGAAAATATTGACTCCCATAGACAAGGTTCTAGAAACCAGATCTGCTTTTGAATTGAAATCTAGGAGAAGAAAAGAACCATCTCATGAATCATAAACTCTCCACTCCGAAAAACACAAACGCCTGCGGTTTCTTACGTTCCTGTTCCCCAGTGAGCCCCAGACGTGAGGAGACACAATGTAGTACTTTTCGTGTTTTTTTTGAGTGTGAAGAAGGGAAAGCAGGTGAAACAGTCAAGTTGTATATTAGGGCCTTGCTCCATTTCACTCCTGCAGCTTGACCCACAAGTTAAATTTGAAAACTTAGTTCTACTTTTAAATATGTCTGTGTAGGATATCTATATGCTACATCAACAAGAGGACAATAGCTCAACAGAGCACAACTATGAGACCAGCATTCCAAGCACAGCCAAAGGGAGGTCCATGAATATTTATGTGTCCCTTCGATGATTTTAGTGGGGAGCGGCTGCCTGGGGTGGTAACAAGGCAACCAGGCCCTTGGGTAGCTGAACTGCAAAATAGAATTCAGCTTATAGCTAGTGTAAAGAAGATTGAACTTAAGTATGCTGGAACTTCTTTGTGTGTCCACTGGCACTCTGCTGTGTTTCAATTTTGGTAAAGAAACTCACAGAGTTCATCCTGGCCTTTTGGGTAAATCTTCAGAGTGCTTGGGTGAGTTAAGAGCGTCCATGTGGCAAGATAACAATAAGCTGGTGTTGCTTTGTGGAGGCTCACACGTAGAAGTGGCTTCCTCAGACACATGTGTTGGTTTTCACCATTTTAACTGTCACATGCTACTGATCTCCTGTAATCCAGTGACTCATTTAGCACGTGGAGGGACAATCGCTTGCGTTGAGCCACTCTGTATGCAACAGAGATACGCACAAGAGGAGGGGGATGGCACAACGCAGTGCTCACCATCCTGAGTAAACCAAGCCATTTTTATCTTAGGCCGTGACACATCTGTCATAAACTCATGTGGTTTGAAAAGAAGGAAAATCGACAGGAAAAAAATCACCTCTGTTTTACTGTTCTTTCTCTTATTGTGTAACGTATTCATAACAATGCACCATTTTATTTCGACCGTAGCAACTGCTGCTCAGCAAAGGCAGGGAACACTGTGTTTGCTGCTGCAAAAAGCAGTTCGACGGTTGGTGTGGTGTTTATTGTGAAATGATGACAAAAGAGTTCTGGTGGTTCTAATAGTTTTAGCTTACGAGTGCTGCCGTTAATTTTGTCTGTAGTGTTGCAGGTGAAAAAATGCACAATGGATAAATAGTCTATATTGGTTTAACTGAACATAATATATAGTGTGTTCTGGAGTTGTTTGTCTCAATAGACTGTAGTAATCAAAAGTAATGAACCTATTATGTGCAGGACCTTGGAGAGCGTCGAATGGCAGTAAAAGTGTGGCACATAAAAGGTTTATTAAAGGAAATTAAAGTCCATCATTGCCACACCTGCTCCCCTATTATAAGTCTATGGCAGGTCAGTGCCTTCAATCACAACTCAGGCTCTGAGAGCAGAAATGCAGCTCCCATTACCATTGCAGTCACACGGCGCTGGAGCTAGTGTCAGGATTTAAGGATGGGAGCCGCTGAGTGCACCTTCTGCCTGCCTCTGATTTTCAACAAGCCAAGCAACTTATTTATATTTGAAAATCCCTTCTGATCATGCGCAGAAGTGAATTAAACTAAGAGATGATTAGCGGATTCTAGTGAAATGGATGGGTGTATCAAGGTCGGAGTCTGAAAACAAGTCTTTGCATCCCTTTGATAATTGATTTGATGACATTTAAAATAATAATGACGTTTTGGGGAATCTGATACTGACACATACATCACTCAGATTTCACCTTCCTTAGTATTTGAATGATTATAACTGGTATTTATTCTGAAGTTCTTGGAGTAAACATATGTCACTATTGATAACCAAAAATTCTAATGGTATTTTCTGGGACTATTTCAGGGGTTTGTCTTCATGGTGCTTTTTTACATGGGGAATCTTGTTTTTCCATCTTAGACAGATATGCATTAGGAAGAGTCTGGAAATGCAGAGGGACGTAGGTTTTAGGAAATCGGTCTGATATCTTTTGGTTTGACATTTGAGGTTTCATCCCCTTCACAGCCGCCGTTAATGAGACGAGCCTTTTTCTATCTCTGTAATGCCAGAAGTGTTTGAGTCACTTCAAACCCTTGTGGACAAGGACATCTGCCCTCTTGTCGCTGTTCTCTCTGGTTTCCAGCGACCGTAGATGTATTTCCAAAGCTGGTGGTGTGTGGGGGGAGTCAGCTACGTACTGCAGAGCCGGGCTGTGGGTCAAGAGCATGGAAGGCTACTGTTTTTCATAACGACCTTCAGAACTCCTAATTACACGTTTTCATATTTTGGTCAATGTCAAAGGAATGACCTGCGGACTTTGTGTTCATGTTATAGATGGAGGCAGAGGCTGAAGATAAAACACGGTGTACAAGCTCTAAAGGAACTGAGGGTGAGTTAGCAAGCAGGTTCTACGACACTACGCCCACCACACCGTGAAACACGAGAGTTCCAGTGCTCACTCCCTCATGTGCAGTCAGAACGATTAGAACTTTCCAGGGCTTCTTTCTTCAAATCAAGCCAGGACACTGGCTCTTGGCATGGAAAGGCACAATACTGTGAACCAGGAGTTAAAGGGCTCAGGAAAGTCCAAATATCTGAGGCCAATTCTTACAAAATGCAGTCATGAGTGGATTTGAACATCACACAGGACCGCATAAGGTTCAGCAAGTGAAGGATATTTCATGGAAAGCTTCAAATTGTGGAAGTGACCTTTAATGGCCAAGGGAAAAGACTGAACTGTTGGTTTATTGCCGAAGCAGGTTTTGATTTTTATGGTATCTAGGCTCCCAACCTAAACTTAGTTGAAGTAGAATGACGATGTTTGTTTTTTGACTGTCTCTTCTGGGAATTCCCACCCAGCAGCTCCGCAAAGTGATGTTTAGAAGGTTTAACTCCCCAGTTCTCCCTCTCTTTTTGTAACCAACAGATGGTAATGTAATATTGAAATACAAACTGGCCCTGGATGATCTAAACATCTGGAAAACAGGGCTGACTGGCAACAATACCCCTTAAGGAAAACAACTTTTATTATGATTAGCTATATTTTTGTGACCCTTAATTCTAAGTGGAAAACTGTAGGTTCACCACAGCTTCTGAAACACTCTGGATAGCTGTTCCCCACCCACCTCACCCCACCCCACTCAGAGTCCACCTCGAGCAGGAAGAGCGGCGGCACAGCCGTGACCTTGCAGCCCTTTGGAAGTGTGTAGAGATGTACATTTCAGTGGCTGATTTAATGGAATGCTTCTGTTATCTGTATATTTGTATATGTAGTCAAGGTAATTACTTCCTGTTTCAGCAAAGTCCAGAATGCCCAAATTTTTAACAAATTCAAGGACATTTCTTTTCAGTGAAATGTAACCACCGCTATCATTAACAATGGTTACCAAAACACAAAAGTCATGCTGTGCACATGAGAATTTTCTCTACCTAAACAGAAATTTTACACTGTATTATCTTCCAGTCTTACTTTAAATTAGTTTTAAAGGAACCATGTTATATATCCTAATATTTGGAATGTAGCATTTCTAAACAAGAACTTTTTTATGGAGCAAACATCTCAATAGGATACCAGCTTAAGAAAAGCAGTCCGTCCCACTCTGGAATAAGCTCTGCCTGCCGTACATATCAGCATGCTAGAGCTAGGATTTGGATTATTTGAATTTCTTATTTTGACTTCTAAAAGCACACTACTCTGTCATACTTTCAAAATGTGGGTTTTTGAAAAAATTTGCAATTCCTTTTGGACTTCACATTCCTCTGGCACAGGCACGAACACCCTTCACGGAGCCAAAATGTTCTTCTAGAAATGAAACAACTGTTTCTCGTGAGGCATGAGTAATCTTGAAAACCACCTGTTGTCTCTCTCAATATGCTGCTTACCCTTGTGTAGGCAGGTATTTATAAACATGAACTTCTTTAGTTCCCATCATTTTAGTCAGAAAAATCAAACCTGTTTTTCCTGTAAGTTCTTCACTTTTGAAAGGTTGGTGATATTAACATGCAGAAGCTCATTCTTCCCTTTCTATATGGAGGCAGTTTACGAGTAAAATCATGGGGCATATTTATTTAGTAAAGCTTTACCAGTTTATTTGAATATGTGTTTAATATCAATAAAAATATAATCTTGGGATTCTTTCTGAATAATATTTTGACTAAAAATAAAATGTCTTTAAAAATAATCGGAGTCATCGGTGCTCCTGTGAATTTTCAGTGAATCTCTAAGGACAGGTACGTGGAAATGCAGTCTATGATGACCAGGCCCCAGAGTCACCCAAGGCCCCAAACCCACAGTCAGTCTATTCCGGGCCATACCCATCTGTCCTCTCATCTCCAAAGAAGCAGAACAAGAGAAGATGGATCCACCCACTGAGAAACTTATTGTTGTTACCTCTGGGTGGGTGAAAAGTTTCCTTTATACAGTTTTGAAAATCATCAACTGATCGACTCTTCTTTTTTTTCTTCTTTTTGGTCAACAGTGCCAATGGAATCACTAATCCAGGAGCTCAGGTAAGATTTGCTGAACATTACTTTTTTTTCACATGAATGCTCTTTGATTATTCAAATGATTTGTACTTCTCAAGCCTCAGAATACTTGTTTTAGCAGAAGGAATTGGCTAAAGGGCTTTTTGTTCCATCCAAACGCTGTCTGTGCATCAGGAAGGCAGAGGAGAATGATGGCTGATAATTGATCCAGAAAAAGTCCATCGATTATTTTAATGACATAACAAAACAACGCTTTGCTGTGATGGGAGTAGCGGCCTACTTTTCCTCATGAAGTGTGGGCTGCGTCTGTGCGCACCTCACGTGCAGTTGGATTTCACACTGATGGTCAGGGCAGAGCTGACCTGTTACCACGAACCTGATGGATAGATAACCCAGATCCTAAATTATCCACTTCTTGCATTAAATAGATGATTCCATCGGGACACTAATTTTTTTAACGTAGACATGTGAACATAATGTGACCAAGACGTTCTTTGAGTGGGTCCATGTATTTTCATCATAAATATTGTTGCTACTATACCCCAGGCAATATAAAAAAAATTGTGAAAATTCCATCTTAACAGGGTTTTCAGGATTAATTCTAATTAGATTTTCTGTCAGAGCCTTTGTTAAAAAGAAAGTATATATTTTTAAGAAGAAACACATGCAGATGACACATTTTCTGTCAGGAACAAGACGACCGCTCTGTACATTCTCTGCATGTGCTGCTCACAAGCTAGCAAGTCCCATATCCACTACTCAGTCCACCTTTCCAGAAACAGTGCTGGTCAGGGAAATGTTTGAAAAACGGAGGCTGTGTAACAGTGTCTAACACACTCGGACTTTGTCAGGTATGCAGTTTACACAGTTCTTTCTCCAGGCAACTGAGCTTGTGATTCCACTGAAACCCAGGCCGTCACCCTTGCTTCCATGTGGCTTATGATCTCTTTCATAGCCTCGGTTCATTTATGGAGTGAAACACCTATCTGTTGGAATTCATGCACATACTCTTCTCTGTGGAGGTTGTCAGTAGGGAATCCATGGCCCTACCTGTGTAATCAATTCTGTCTTAAGAATTTATTTTATTTGTATTTATTTATTTTTGAGACATGGTCTCAAACAGGGTCTCAGTCTGTCCTCCCAGGCTGGAGTGCATTGGTGCGATCATGGTTCACTGCAGCTCACTGCAGCCTCAAACTCCTGGGCTCAGGTGATCCTCCTGCCTCAGCATCTCAAGTAGCTGGGAGTACAGGTGTGTGCCACCACATCTGACTAATTTTTGTATTTTTAGTAGAGACAGGGTCTTGGTATGTTGCCTAGGCTGGTCTCAAACTCTTGGGCTCAAGTGTTCCTTCCACCTCGGCCTCCTAAAGCTCTAGGATGAACAGGAGTGAGCCACCACACTTGGCTTAAGAATTTTAATTTTGATCAGGAGGCTGAGTCAGGAGAATTGCTTGAACCTGGGAGGTGGAGGTTGCAGTGACCTGAGATTGCGCCACTGCACTCCAGCCTGGTACCTGGCAACAGAGCAAGACTCTGTCTCAAAAAAAAAAAAAAAAAGAATTTTAATTTTGAAAGTACTTTGATAAGAGTAGGACATATAGTATACTCCTACATTTGGACAGGGCTAAGTTGTTGAACAACCTGGCTTATTTAAATTATTACCTTTAAAATTTGCTCTATCTTTCTGGAGGCTTTATTTATGTCCCTTGTAGAATGGTCAAGAGAAGCTTAAAATGACCCAGTGCTCCAAGTAGGGGACATGTTAGCAGTCCCTGGAGTGGTGTCTTGTTCTTGCTGTAGAACCAGTGTGCCTGTGGACACGAGGCCACTTAGACTAGTGAGGGAATCAAGCCATTCGGAGAAAAAAACGCCCTTAATTTTAGTGATGTTTCTTGAAAACAACTTTTACACAAGAGAATATCTAAGGAACTAATGCACGTGCATTGGCCTACGAAGAAAAATACAGTTCATAGAGAAAAAGGAAGGTATTCGCAGAGAGAAGCAAATTGTGGGGGAAAAAACGCTTACTGCAGCCTATGTAGAGAAACAGAAATCAGCATCTGAGCATGGCATTAGCACTGCTAGCTACAATAACCTGGTGTTTATTGGGGTCCCATGTGCCAGACACTCTTGAGCTTTCTTTGCTGCTCTATTATCTCACTTAATCCTTCTGAAAGCTTTATAAGGCAGAAACTATGATATTTTAGTTTTCAGATGAATAAAGTGAAATAAATAATTTGTGAAAATAGCCCCAGGCTACACGACTGTTGGGCAAGGCAGACTTCTGACTCAAAGGCCAACTTCTCACCCACCAGACTCGTCTTCCTCTCACACAATTCATACCCTTTAGAGTATAAATCAAAAAGCGATTTAAGCAACTGGATTTTCCAGTCTACATTTTTAACCCGTGTGGTTTATCTTTCAAACAGCCTGGTTTTCTTAAATTTGGACAAATAATTTATTTTAATTTAAGATAATGTTTTCTATTTTCCCAATTTTTTGAAGATTATTTTTTCTCTGATATTTCATTTTACCTAATTTGTTATTAGAGTAACTCAGAAAGCTGATGGTAATTGCTGGGAAAACATATAAACGTCGTTAATTCACCTGTTTTTTTTTTGAGACGGAGTTTCGCTCTTGTTACCCAGGCTGGAGTGCAATGGCGCGATCTCGGCTCACCGCAACCTCCGCCTCCTGGGTTCAGGCAATTCTCCTGCCTCAGCCTCCTGAGTAGCTGGGATTACAGGCACGCGCCACCGTGCCCAGCTAATTTTTTGTAATTTTTAGTAGAGACGGGGTCTCGCCATGTTGACCAGGATGGTCTCGATCTGTTGAACTCGTGATCCACCCGCCTCGGCCTCCCAAAGTGCTGGGATGACAGGCTTGAGCCACCGCGCCCGGCCTTCACCTGCTTTTCTTTAATGAGACCCAGCTTATACAAATTACTAAGTGATCATTTGAAATTTCATAATCATTTCTGTTCAACGGAATGACCATGCTTAGACAGGCAAGGTCCCAAGTTCATTCTCTTTTTGGCAGAATCTTGCTCATGATCTCCACTCACTGCAACCTCCACCTTCTGGGTTCAAATGACTCTCCTGCCTCAGCCTCCCAAGTAGCGGGGACTACAGGCACATGCCACCGCACGCGGCTAATTTTTTGTATTTTTAGTAGAGATAGGGTTTCACCATGTTAGCCAGGATGGTCTCTATCTCCTGACCTTGTGATCTGCCCGCCTAGGCCTCCCAAAGTGCTGGGATTACAGGCGTGAGCCCCAGGAGCCAGCCCCAAGTTGTTTGTTAAGTACTTTAAGTTGACCTAGACACAGGCTTGAATTATCATTCTATATGAATCTTGGGAGAAAAGTACTGATTCATATGGAAGCTTGTACTTTTCGCGTCTTTTAAACTTTTGTCCATTTCCTACAAGGTTCTTCCAGTTTTTTCCACTGGTTTGTTGTGATCCGGCACAACTGTGTACCTGAATTCTGAATATCTTAGGAAATGCGGCATGTTTTCCCCAGCGTAAAAGTTGTGGTTATTCTGTAGAGAACACTGACAACTTTATTTGGTTCTTCTTTTTAGAATGCATTGGACACGTCATTGCTTCTAGGGCCACTAGTTACAAAAATACTAATACAAATGAAGCTAATTTAAATACGCTGTATATTGTTCATGGCACTAATAAAATTGATACTGACATTCTGATCCTCTTATTATAGTCGATGTCAGCTACTATCATCACCATTAAAAAAGCAATTTATAACCACAGGCCCAGCTTTAATCATATTCCTTATTAGCATTTGCAGTCTTGCCTCTAACGCCACTCAGGTTACAGGTGGTGTCGGGAAGGCTCTCCCGCGTCTTGCTAAATCGTGACCACTGCATTATCGCTGCCGTTTCCTTTTATCACGATTATCCTTAGTCTGAACCTCGTGCTATTGAAGCTACTAAAATCGGTAATGGTCTCTTGCATTGGCAAAGTGTTTTCACACCAGCCCGGCCCCCTTCCTCTAATTAGGAGCATATATTCTAGTCCCCGAATTGACTTCCCTATGTGACTGTGTGGAGAGATAAGTGAATTCAGAGCTCTTGAGTCAAATCTCTGTCCTTTCATTGTCTTATTGCCGCTTACCGATTTTTACCAATTTGTAAAAACGGCTTAAGTTTGGTAACGAAAGTCTTAAGTTTCTCTCTTTATTTGATTTTACATAATTTCTTTCTTACCAAAAATCCCATCATTTGGCATTTTCCTGTCAGTTTTAAAGATGCTAAATTTTTAGGAGCTCTCTAATCAATAAATTGTAGATTTATTTTATTTTATTTGCTCACTTAGTTTTTGAGACAGGGTCTCACTCTGTCACCCAGGCTGGAGTATAGTGGTGTGACCTTGGCTCACTGCAGCCTCAGCCTTCTGGCCTCAGGCCATCCTCCGACCTCAGCCTTTGGAATAGTTGGAATTACGGGCACGGGCCACCATATCTGGCTAATTTTGTTTATTTTCTGTAGAGATGAGGGTCTCATTATGTTGCTCGGACTGGTCTCCATCAAGCTTCTGAGCTTAAGCAATCTCCTTGCCTTGGCCTCCCACAGTGCTGGGGTTACAGGTGTGAGCCAGCATGCCTGGCCCAGTCACAGATTTAACAATAACATTTCAAGAGTTTATGTGACAGTTGCTGTGAATTACAGGTCTACATGTCTTTCTCCTTTTTCTTTCATCTTATTTCATTCACTGTAGTCTTTATATCAGGATAAATACTTTAATATTTTGCAGTTTCTTTAGAGTAAAGTTTCCTTTAGTGATCATGATTTTATTGGAACTTATTACTTAAAGATTTGCGGAGGTGACACTAATGAAGAAGTGAACTGATACTGACTGTAAGTTCACCAGCCCGCTCAAAGAACTTAGTAGTTTTAATCAGGAGGTTAGATAAAGAAGGAGAAAAGCTCTCTTCTTTCTTTTTGTTGGTATCATTTCCAAATGTGGGGCTCAATGCATGCTTTGGAATTTATAGCATAACT